CATTTGTTGTTTCCTCACAGCTATTTGCCCTGCTGACCAGCAGCGGTAAACCATCAGAATCATTGAAGGTAGATAATATCAAAAAACCAAAAAATAAAACATAACTTAATTAAAAAAAAAAAATTCTTTTTTATTTACATTTCTTTTCTCTCTTCTTTTTTATGTTTTCTACTTTCCTTACATCGTTTTACCATCCCTTTTCCAATTACCTTTTACTCTTAACGCATTGAAGCAAACTAAAAAAAACTAACCTCTTCGATCTGAGAGCATTAAAAAAAAGCTGAAAGAAAAAAAAAGGTTGTTGTTACTTTCAATAAAATTAAACTGATTTATTTATGAATTTTTTTTCGTTCGTTAAAAAACCCAAATTAACATTTTTTACCTTACCATTCTCTCTTCAACAACCCTTTTTCTCCTTATTTTTGTGACGTCTCACATAGAAAACATTCGTCTCTAAGCTGTGATTGAAGAAGTGTTATTATTATTATTTTGTTAAATTAGTTCAGTTAAAAAAGACTTGAGAAAAAAGTTAAAACTAACGATGAGGGAAAAAAACTGCAATTTAAATTATAGCAGATTTTTCTAATCTAAAGAAAAATACGCTTCTCAAAAAGCTGTTGCTTTGTAAGACAGAAAAAAAACAAAAGTATTCAGCCAAATGATGACCAAAATGAAATTTTTTGTCGCATATTTTCATTTTCAAATAGACTTTTAATAACCAAATAAACAAAAATTTACTTTTAAGGCTTTGCAAAACATTGTCAATTTCAAGATGACATTATCAAAATTTATTGTCATTATGGTAACATTAATTGGTTTTTTTTCAACGAAATATCGGTAAAATAATTGCTGTTTAAAAATCGTCAAAATAGTTAAGCAGTTTACAAAATAGTTTTCATTAATTCCTTACTCAATTACTTTTGAACTTAAGATTTGCTATTTTGTCTGTACTGAATGACTGAAGAGTAAAGCTTTCAAAATTGGATAAATTTGAAGCAAAGAAACCGAGAATAACAAACAGTCATCTGTGTAAAATTACGGCGGCAGAAGGTAACAAAATCTAAGAAACAATTTAACTTTATTGTCACACTGAAAGCGTATATTAATCGAAGCAAAACAAAATGAATAGATTGAAACTTTTGATTTTACAAATTTTTACTGTTGAAAAGAAGAATCAAAAATCGTGTTTAGCAGTAACAAAGGTTTTACTGTTGTGACTCTCCGGCGGATATAAGTGCCACTGGTAATTGGTGTTTTTTAAAAGTATGAAGAATTTCCTAAAGAAGTGTTTGCAAATAATATATATATATGCTGTTCTATTTGTCACTTTTTCTTTATAGATTAGTTTTGTTACAGACTTCAACAAACAAAATTTTTTTTATTGTCTTGTTTTTCTTCTAATGCAAATGGCAGTAATCAAAAAAACACATTTATTTTCAAAAATAATCAAAAAAATTTTTTTCGTCTACATTTTTCGTATATACATAAATAATTCGTTTAGTTAGCCTTAAATAAACAAATGATTAATCACGAGCTATGTCTTTTCCGTTCCTCTTTTTTCTTCTTTTTTGGCTAAACTTTCACTCGTTTAGAACTGTTATAATCAGTCATAATTTTTTTTTTCTTTTTTTGGCGATAACCAATACAAATGAACAAATTAAGAACTCTTTCCCAGTCAAACAATATTAATTTTTTTCCCTCTCGTTTAACAGATTTATGAACAAGCAGATTTCAATTAATTGAAATAAAACCTTCAAAGATTCAATGATAAACTACGCTGCCTTTTGGTCAGCTACAAAATTTTTTACATTTTCAACTCAAAGTGAGACAGCGTTCAAAAAAATCTCACAGTTGTCACTTCATTGTAATTGGTTTTAACTTGAACAACAACTGTTTTTATTATATTTTACTCTATTTTATATTTTTTATTTTTGAAAACCTTGGATTCTATTACTTATTCTTCAAAATTAAGCGATAAATATGAAACTATAATATAGGTTTTATAGGCGACAGATTTCGTGTTAAATTCATTTAGCATTACAGTAACCATAACATAATAAAGTAGGCGAAAAATAATACGGGGTACTTCAGACGAGTTGCGGGAAGACTGAGCTGACGTGTAAAATATTTGATAAAGACAAATTCATAGAAATAATGCACTGTTTATTAAACGTCTAACGAGAAAAAAAAATGACGTGCAGAGACTTCAAAACAGCGTTCAAAAAAATCTCACAGTCGTCACTTCATTGTAAATGTAGTTAGTTCCAGTACCTGTTTGCGTTAATTAAACGTCACCCCAAGCCCTGCAATTTAGGAGCTTTGTGCAGTTTGGTTGGCGAAATTGGTGAATTACGAAAGGAAAATCAAAAACTGCGAAACCGTCTTAGTGTTGTTGTGGAACCACGTCGAGGCGTTGTCCACCGCGTTGGAGCACTGTTGGACAGCAAAAATAGTCTATTCCCAAAGATCATTGGCAAGAAGGTTTCCCAACCGGAGATAAGATCTGGGGCTAGAGAACGACTCTCCACACCCCCACCAAAGGTAGAATTATAAAATCTGGTAACAAGATCTTGCAGTTGAATGTTTCAACAGTGGCAGTGAATAGCAAAAATTGTAATTCGTATTTTTTTTTTCGATATATTATACCTAAAGAGTCCAATCTTTGGAAGAAATAAATAAGAAAGTTATTCTATGTTTTTTAAAATGACCTCTGGCACTTTACACGCTGTCTGCCAAAATTTATCTATATAATTTCTTTAGGACTGTTTAAATGCAAGCTGTTATTCGGCGGACATTTCTTCAGATTTTTCTGAAGGTAAACGTCAGGGATCAAATCTTCTTGCACGTCCACTAGTACTTCCGAAAGGGTATAATTCTGATGCTGAGCAAACTACATTATCTGAAGTAATGGTTAACTTGCAACTACTATGAGCTATTTAAAACATACAAAGAATTTTAAAATCGGGTGCCAGATGGTTCAAAAAACGTTATTTTTACTGCAAAACGGCGAAAACAGCTTTTTTACGACTGCTACAATGCATGATCTGCAGCTCGCTTATTTGCTTCCAAAAAATTATGGTAGGGTCAGCATCATGCAATCAGGCGCTACAATATCGTACAACGCTAATTAACTTAGCTCCCTGGCGTGGTCGTTATCGAGGGCAATTATGTTTAAGTATATTCTGTGTTGCACTCAGTGGTATTACTATACCCCTCTGTCACTCAACTGGCAAACCTTTTTTGTTTAATTACAGTCTTATGCTTTTTATTAGGTTAAATATCATTTGGTAATACTGGCGAATTATTATAGTTGTATTCAATTAGTGCACAAGGTAAAAGAATAAAATTGGATAGAGCTTCTAAATCTTGACTGTTGACGAAAAAGTTTAGTTTTTTTTTTCATGTACTTGGCACCTAGCAAAACTAAGCTGTTTGTTAACGATTTCAGAAATTTAGTCTTATTTTTCACACTTTTTAAAATAACAGTTTCTCTGAACAGTTGCGGCTAAACCTTCAGCAGGAAAAGTTTAGACAGTTTTTCTGGCCCCTATCACTGTAAACGTTAATCAAGTATTGCGACTTAAGGGTTTTGACGATAATGTTTCCTGGTAAACAAAACGCTGTTACGAGTGAGTTTTTAGAAAGATAATATAAAACAAAAAGTAGCTGTAGCTTAACAAAAAAGAAAAAATGCAAGTGGTAGCGAACTTCCTAAAGAAGGAGGCTTATTAATCCGCTTACGAAAAAGTTTAGCAGTCGCGCTGAATGCTGCACAGAATAATGCTAGAGAAGAATGCTGATAACAATGGGCTTAAAAGGGGAATGGTAATAAACAGGCATTCCAGAAACATTAAAACACCGGCTGTGAGAAGAAAGCATGTCTGAGTTGCTGATTTTTGATTGAACTTCAATCTCTGATGCTTTACTGAGGACAAAAATAATGCTTATTTTTACTTTCTGATGTCCGATGACATTTTCTAAGAACAAAAGTTGCCTCTATATAGGATATTAATGCCTCTTTCAAAATAATAACGTACATCATCTGTAAACTTTTATTTTTTACAGAAACCACTTCGAAGCTGCACTACACGTTCGCCTGACCATGCTTTTAGAACATTCTCACGTCGTTGTCATGCTTCATCTGTTTCTGAAAATACGCATACTAGTCCGTCGTCAGCTTCGTCTCGTGACCCTTCAGAAGCAATGAGTAATTTTTTTACTGTTTGACATAAGTTAATTATGTTCCTTTAAAGAAAGCAAGAAACGGCAAAACTAAATGTGAACCTTGAGCAGAAAACACATATTTGTGAAAGTGATAACACACGATGATCTAAAGATTACATTATGTGCTTACATCATATTGCATTTCAGCATCGAGTAGATCAAGTTTTTTGGAGCTAATTGGAATAAGAAAAAAGAAGGACAGCTGTACAGAGAAAAAGAACAGTTTTGGAAAGCAGATTTTTAAAAAACGTAAACGAAAAGCTAGTGAAAGTGATTCTTTACAGTCGAACGATGAAGAACGCTGTAACGGTAAGTGTTTGCTTCAAAAAAGAGAGAAAACAAATTAATTTTGTCTCAAACATTTTTTACTGCTCAGTTTTTTTTTCCGTAGACAGAAATTAGGTTATTTTTTAAAGTTTAGTTTTAACAATGCAAGCATTCTAGGAATCACTAGCTGTTATCATACAACAAATAACTAGCTGTTAAAAAAAGAGAATTTATAAAAAGAGGATGAAAACGCTCATTTTGTGTAAAAGCCAGTGACGGTTTCAGATGGTAAATGGACAGTGTTAAATGTGACTAGCAAATTTAGCACTAGCGAAAATTTAGGCAAAGCCGAAAATGTCACAAAGACTTTATTGCCGGAACCAAAACAATATAGGCTTCAACGTCAGGTAAACGATAGATGTTTTGCATTTTTATACACTTATTTTGAAGAAAAAGTTGAACGGAAAAAGGATAGATGCATGGAGGAAATGTGCCAAGAAGAAATAGAGGCGATGAAAGGGCAACCAGAGAAAAAGCGGTGATAAAAAGTTTTTTTTAAAGTTTTTTGTTTTCAGAATGATTACTTCTACTGGTAAAGTGACTTTACAGATATTGTCAGTATTTTAAAGTATTTATCAAAAAATAAGTCTCTAGAATTACTCTGAATGATTTCCAACTTTAAATCCTTTACGTTGACGAAACAAAGCCTTCGCGGTTATTTTATTTAATGTTGCTTTCGGCCTCATGCTTGATTTACAGTCTGATCAGTAAAAATAAGTAGTTAAATATGGTCTACTTTTTGACGCTGTTGATATTGTGGAAATGAGATTGTTTAAAAATTTCTAGTTTATACGTTATTATGTTTTAAAGGTAAAATTTACGCAATTAAAATGCTACTTGCTTTGCTTCAAATATTTCAACTTTGCTTTATTCGTTTGGCACTGCAGTGCAGATCAGTTCCTCTGCTTGATATCTGCGGCAGTTAGTCAAATGGTTACTGTAGTTTCATAGCTTATCTTTCAGACTGCTCTCAAGCTAATATTATTGTGAGACTGATGAAATCTACAATTTTTAAATATACATACGGTAGACAAACAAATATTAGAGTTATTTAGAATTTTTACACTAATACTGTTTCACCAGTTATATATTATAGAAACGTGTTATGCGTTTCAATGCTGAAAACAAAGAAAACAGTTCTTGTCGCTACTCTGGCTCTCAAACCAGCAGTGTTCAGCGCGACTCTACCAAACGGATTCTATCTTCAGGTGCTGAATCACGTTTACATCAGCGCTGCAGTAGCCGTGAATCAACCGGTAACTGTTAATGGCACACGCAAACTTCCCAGCTGAATTGCTACATTTGTCAGGGTTACGTCAACTTTTCTAAATTTTCAGATACGACTAGAGGTAGACGAGGACATCGTGGTGACGATGATGCGCTGATGCTGCATAAAGAACTGGAAATGTTTAAGAGTCGAAACAATCGTTTGATTGAGCAATTAAGACAAAAATCAATAGAGTACTCAAAACTTTCATCTCACGTGGCAAGTTTACAAAAACAAGTGAGTTTTTAACAAAAAAGAAAAAAAACAAAAATATTTACGCTTTAAATTACTATATTGTAGAATGATATGAACAGTCATTAGAACAAAAAGTACAAAAGAAAAATTTTTTACTTTGAAAATTTCAAGTTTTTTATCTCTCATTCGCGATTATCTATACTTGCCTCAGTTTTAGGTAGATGTATTCAGAAACAGATGCCGATTAAATGAAGATTTAGAAAAATGGACATTTGATGATCGTATCAATTTACATTCAAAAAAAATATTGGATTTGGTTGGGAAATCACTGCAAAATTTTGAAAGTCGTTTGCAGACTCTCAAAAATGAAAGTGTAAAAAACCAGGAAATGATATGTATTTTATTATTATTATTATTGTTATTATATTATCAACTAATAATTAACAATTAACGATAATAATAATTAATAATTAACAATTAATAATTAATAATTAACAATAATAATAATAATTATTATTATTGTTAATTATTAATTATTAATTAATAATAATAGTAATAATAATAATAATAATTATTATTATTAATTGTTATTATTATTAATTAATTAATAATTAATAATTAACAATTAATAATTAATAATTAACAATAATAATAATAATTATTATTATTGTTAATTATTAATTATTAATTAATTAATAATAATAACAATTATTATTAATATTATTATTTATTAATTAAGAATTAATAATTAAAAATAATAATGTTAATTAATAATTAACAGTTAACAGTAATATTAATTAATAAATAATAATAATGGCAATTATTAATATCAATATTATTTACTAATTAATAATTAATAAATAACAATAGTAATTAATAATAATAATAAATAATCAACAGTCAACAATAATAACAATAATAATAATAATAAATAATTAACAATAATAATAATAAATAAGTAATAATAATAATAATAATAATAATAATAATGATAATGATAATAATAATTATTATTATAATTTATTATTATTATTATTATTGTTATTATTATTATTATTAATATTACTGTTAATTATTTACTATTATTATTATTCTTATTATTGTTAGCTGTTGATTAATAATTATTATTACTATTGTTAATTATTAATTATTAATTACTAAATAATATTAATATTAATATTAATAATTGTTAATTAACAGTAATAATAATTATTATTATAATTATAATAATTATTATTGTTGTTAATTATAAATAATAATAATTATTATTACTATTGCTATTTCTATAATTATTAATTCGATAAGGACAGTGATGTACATCCAAAATTTATGTTATGCTGCTAGTTTGGTTTTATCTTTTCTAATATTCAGGCAGTAAATTCAACGCTGAAAGAGCAGGAAACATCTCAAGCTGCCATTGAACAACTAGAAAGATTACAGCGCGAAAATTTTCATCTTTTGCAATTACGTGCGACAGGTATTCTTGCGACAGGCTTAAGAAATTGTAAAGAAATGGTTAAAAACTGAGAATTTTTTTAGAAGTTAGTTTTCAAGAAAGACATATTCGCCATCTGCTGGAAATGATGCCTTCATATGATGCGTTATATTCATTTACCATGGGAATCCTACGAAAAGTTCGTATTGTTTAGAGCCTTTATCAAAGTTTATGCTGCTTAGTAGTATTTGCCAAGTAGGATAGAAAAGGTTTTAAATCTAGCTTAAAGTGTATTTGACTTTTTAGCTTGGACAGTTACGAGCAACATTCATTGAGAGAAGCGCAAAATCAACAGAAAAAGAATTAGAACTTATGCAAATGCGTATTTGCCTTATATTAGCAAATGCTCAAGTAAAGCATATAATTTTTATCTTTTTACTGTTTACCTTTGAAGATCATTACAATGTTCTGATTAAAAACTGACGATTGAAAGTAATGCAGAGAAATTATAAAGTTTTTTACACACCCATTTTGCTGTTAATGGTAAATCATTTACGTCGGTGTGTATACAGTATAAGACTAGCTTAGATTGAAAGATTAAAGCTGCGGAACAATGACACCACTGCAGTTCGTCGTCGTCCAGTCTCATACCACGGCGACAATCTCCACGATCGATTGGTACTGATTTTTTTTGCAATACCTTTAACAGCTGCTCATAGTTTCTGTAGACGTTGTTATACTAACATTTGGCATAATTTTCCTTGCGTTATAATTCTTTTTACTCAGAATAATGCACAACTGAATTTCTACATTCCGCTACAACTTCATGGTTCTCGACTAGAAAAATTTCATCAGTCGACCGCTGTAGATGTGGAAGCCGAGGTGGAAAGGAATGAGCAAAGCATCGAATCGGAGTTTTTGCGTCTTTTTGATTACGCGAGATGTAAGTAAAGCGCGCTTTTTTTTTGAGCTGGTCGTCGTTTAGATTTTGTAATTAGATGTATCAGTTCTGTTTCCACGGCTAGCTTTTATTTCTTATTTCTCTACTCTTTTCCGCCAAGAAAACTCATTGATGACGTGTAACGCCAGAAAAAACGTTTTCTACGCCTAAACGACTTTTCACTTGTAACGGAACTCACTAAAGAGCACTCTGCTTTGATAATTTACGTTTAAGAATACTACAGCGTAGTTTGATTCCAAATTTTGTGATGAACGAATATAGCACAGTTGAATGTCAAAAAAATTAAAAATTGAACAGTCGGCATTTGAGAACTTTGCCCCATACATTATGCCTAATGAATTTCAGGCCTTACACATGTCTGCAACGGAGAAGAAAATATTCCGCAGTGTGCCAAAAAAAGTTCGATAAACTCAACCGCGCAGTTCAAATGTAGAGATGAACAGCCTTTATTAATCAAACAGAGTTCCTCCTTCTTGAACTTGATAGCAAATTTTATTTGAACCTTCTATTTAAAGACGTTTAAAGTAAAAAAAAAAGAAATCTAGCTTATTCGTAGAATTGTTTTAAATTGTTTTTCTTTTCCAGCTTCACCCTTTGGTGAACGTAATTTGCTGCCAAAAAATAACATCAACCGTATTTCATTATGGAACAAAAAAATTCAATCAACAGCACGACCTGTCAGGTGATACCTCATTCTTATAAAATACAAGTTGCAAAAGTGGCAAGTTTTTCAGCATTTGTTAACACAGCAGTGAAAATTTCAATTTTGGGCATTATGAAATTGTTTTTACGATCCTTGTTTTCGACAGTTTGTTTCTTTAGTATGATGGAAACCCATGAAAAAGGAGCGCCAGCTAATAGTTACTTACAACGGTTCAATGATGAGAATGCAGAAAGAGAGGAAAAAAAAGACTTTTCAAACTCAAAGTATGTTTGACACTTGACTATCGACCTCAAAAATTTTAAAATTTTTTTTGTTAAACCTTCATTCATGCATTCCACTGACGTAAACATTAATAAAAAATTTCTGTTTTCAACCTGAATAGAATTCAAACTATGACCAGTGTACCGGCGATTGTATCATCACTACAAGACGTAAGCAAGTCATCGGCTATCATTAACAGTCCTTCGTCGCCGCCGCACACACCTCGATCAGTACCTCATCTGAGTGAAATAAAAACGAAACGAAATTTTGACCATCACAGGTCTGTGCAACAACACCAAAGCAATGGTGCGCTGTTTCACGGTTCATTATGCAGTCGTCAACTTTTTAGTTCCAGGAGTTCAGTGGATGCTGCATTTTCGATGACAAAAAAAACATGATATTAAGAACAGTTGTACTATAATTAATTTGTTAACAAGAAACTATATAGTTTTTTTTTAAAGATAATTCTTCATATGAAATTCGGTCATCGAGAACAAGCATTCGGTCTGATTACGGTTCTAGAATTATTAACAGTGTCTATTCTGTTGGCGATAAGAAACGAGCACCACCTAATAATTCCAAAATCGCTTTACCTAGTGTTTTACGTTCACAAAAGCCCAGCATTAGTAGTCCGGTAATTGCACACCATAATCGCGAGTCGACAGCACTCACCGTGAGTAAATTATCAGTTGTTTACGCCACTATGTCAATCAAATGACTTTTAGTCACTAGTAAGAAGCGATCAACAACTACACAATTATTATAAAAAACCTTTTTTTTAGCATCGTATTAATACACCCTCAGTTACATCGCCGAATTGTACTAATTCAGAAATTCGTTTGATTTATCAGACGAGACGAAATCAGGAACACATAGCCGTGATACAAGAGGAAAGTCCTTCAAAAGCAGAAGCACAAGAGAAGAGTCGCTTGTCGAAGTTACCGAATGTTTCGCAAGAAAGAAAAAAAGGAATGTCTTGGTTAAGTCGTTTTACTCAAGGAAAAAAATAGTTTTCTGCGTTGTATGCAGGTGTCCAGACTGGCTTAGTCTAATAACTTTTTAGCTGTAACTGTTCTTGTGATCTTACAGTATCTGTAAAGCATTGATATTTTATAAGTAAACTCTGGAAGTCTAAAAGAACTTTTCCACACTTAACTGTGGTGGATTACTGGAGTGAGCTCAAGATGACGATAGAGTCAGCAAAAAATGAAGTTGATTTTTAAATTAATTATTTTTTCACAAATCTCTATAACAGCTGACACAAATTCAGGAGTAGATGGAAATAAATTTTCAATTTTTGATCATATGCTATAAAGTAGACAAAGTTAGAAGCTTACAGAGCAAACGATTAGGGAGAAGCTAGAAACTCTTCTTGAGCTTTATACAGTTTTCCCTTTTAGTTTCTCAATTTGCTATAAATGTAGCAGATACGTCGTTTACTTACAATGTGCCTTTCTTTAATGTTCTACCTGAATGTAGCAAGTCTCTGATGAGATCAATAAAAATAAAAGTTGAAAACCTTTATGTTCTTCGCCTATTCTGTTTACCTCTCTTCAACAAAGATTGTAATTTTTCAGAGAAAGATACAGTTAGTTTTGTTGAATAATAATTTTTATTTCATCATTTTTTTCACCTTTTTTATTTGAATTACGAGAACTGACAGCAATTAGATAATGAGAGGATTATTGTCAGTGCTATATTGATCTTGTTTATACGTACTGTTGCTATATGTCGGTTAAAATATGCTTTTGCATATTGTTATCTTTGAATAAAACATTTTCATCATTAAAGCAGCGTTAATAAACACCAGTAACCGTGGGCAGCGCAGAATCGGGAAATACGGCCCTGCGAATTTGATTTTTTTTGGGAAGACATTTTTATTCCTATCATCGTTTTTGAAAATAAATTATTGGCAGACAAATTTATCATCAGTACGTTTATGTATTAGAAGTGCAAAAAAATGCTGTCCGTTGATTTTGAAATATTTATTTAGCCCAAACGTGAATCTACTGCAAATTATTAACTTTCAGTTATCATTAGTTCACGAAGGAAAAAATTAAACAAAATTTGTCAATATGAGCATTATTAAACGCTCTGCAAACGTATTTCGATAGCTATATTTCCATCCTAGCGGAAGTATGTCTATTTCTCAGTAACTCATTTTTCCGCAACTTCTAGCAAAAAATTTGTAAGTTTGAGGCTAAGAAATAGCAATATAAAAACTTGCAATTTGTTGCTTTAGTTGAAGCAGTTATAAACAGAAAAAAATAACAACTCAAAACAAAACTGCAG